TTAGGGATGGATAGCTGTCAACAAGAGCCTAGAGACAGTCCAAGATCAGTCCCTGCAACATGCCTTTCCATATTTGTCTTGCTTTTAGAAGATCAGTGAAATTTCCCTGGAGAAATTCAAGGGCTAATCTGTGCTCAGTGTTGTATCATGTGGATCAGCAGTGCAGGATTAGGAGAACTATCTTTTACTACAATATCTAAACATAGTTCCTAGCACAGATAGAGGGACACCAACAAAAATAAGTCTGTAAAATTATTTTTAGTCATGTGATACATGTATGCTACTATTTGCTGCTGGCCACAATAGTCTCTCACCTTAAGGCTGTAAAAAAAAAAAAAATTACATTGCATCAAGAAAAAAACAAGAGCTCCAAGTCCAGCTCTGTTCCCAGGGCAGGATCTGCTGTACTTAAACCACCCTGAACCCCCTCTCTGGGAGCAGCCTCCAGGAACAGAAGAGATTTAGTCTTTTCCCTGAGAGACTTACCTCAGGGCTTGAGTTACTGCTGGGAGCTCTTCCCTAACAGCCAGACTGCACAGCCTTTGAAGCAAATGCAAACCATTGCAGTTTCTCAGTGATATAGCAAAAGGAAGCTCTTTGTAGTATACTTTCAAGCTACAAATTTTATCACATCTTCTTACAGCCTTTTCTAGACTAAACAACATCCTATTTCAAACTTTTCTTACAGCTTGCTCCCTTCAGAGAAGTCAGGCCCAAGCAAAGCTGCATACAAACCCCAATCCTCCCTTGAGAGCTGCACTGCTTTCTTACATTGCTGGCTTTTGCAAGCAATAGCAGTTGCTCTCATACAAAAGTCCTGCAACAGGCTCTAGTGAAGAAACAAAAAAAACATCCTCTGATAGGAATGGGAGACTCCTCCCTTGTTAAGTGCTGCTGCCCACATAATTAGGATGCTTGCAGACTATAAAGCAGCCATTTTCCCCTCTGCTGCATTTGGAGTGACATAGTTATTACAGGGGCCTTAAGTAACTACAGCTGTTTGTATACGTGGTTCTTACCTTATATAGATGCTCTGAAGAGAAAGTAAAGTATTTGTGTTTTGCAACAGGACAGTCTGTTCCAGTGGCACCCAGGGTGAGTGGTTTCCTGGGCTGATCTTCTAGAGGTTTTCCTAGGCCAGGTAGCTCACTGTGAAGTTGTTAAGGTGGCTTTGCGTATGTCTGCGTTGCTGGGTGGGAGTCAGACTTAGTCTCTCTCTATTGGTACAGATATTCAGTATTCATTATGAGTTCTTTTTACATGCAAATATGAGCAATAATGATGGAGGTCAGTGGAAAAGGCAGGCCACAGCTTTGTCCCCACAGCTTTGTCCCCACAGGTGTTGTATGGTTCTAGGTGAATTTATATTTCAGTGTATTTAACCTCATAAAGATTTAGTGAAGGACACGGAAGTCACAGAATTGAGGAAGAAATAAAAAGAAGTATTACCAGCTATGTACAGGTACTTTACAATGTGTTTATGGATAGGGTCAACTGTGAAAGCTAATTATTAGACTTTTCATCACCTTCTCTTCCACAACTATGTACCTGTTGTTTCATAGACCTTAAATAGCCAGGTAGGCAGTGTTCATTTGCAGCTCATTGTCCCTTAGTTGCTGTCTTGTGGTGCCTGTTTACAACAGTGGTTGTTTCTCATACTCATTACTTGTGATTTCGTACTTTATCTCCTTCAGCAGCTGTATATTGGTAACTCAGTCCTTGTACTGTGGACTGAACTTGTCAGTCAGCAAGTTCAGGTAACATAGTAGGTAGGGAGAAGGCATGAATCTGAGGTTAAGGAAAGGTTCAACAAAGGAGTGGGCTGCATTGATTGTGGCTTTGAGTCCATGGACCTTTGAAGTAGCAAGGAAAAACGCATCTTATAGTAATGCCTTTTTAAAGCTGTGCTTATTTTCTGTAAAAGCAAATGCAAAAGGCAAAAATCTATGTCTGACTCTTAGCTATTCTCAAACTAGTTGTTTGGCTCTAAGGTTTCTACTAAGATCATGCCCTAGGCCAGCAAAAATCATGCTGAGATAGGTATATGGCAAAGCTTTTATTTGAGGTTTTGCTTGATGTTTTAGGGCTAATACTTTGTTTGCTAACAACAAAGACCTGAAATATACTTAGAAATTAACTTGCCTCTCAACTCTTCCTTTGTCCTTTACAAACAGATCTTTTCACACAAGCAAGAAGTAATCTTTGCATTCTAATTAAGCAAGTGGCTTTGGCAGCTGGGTGTAAAACTCCCCCTAGCAAAACACCTTTTGTTGTATGTGAATAAGTAGGACTTTGTGGATGCTAGTTGCTAGGTATTCAAGCCAAATTAACCTGATATTGCATTTGGTGTGGCTATTGGAAAGGAGTAAGCTGGCTCTTGCAAGATGCCAAGGCCTCTGAGATGGTGTTTTGCTGAGGGTAGCACAGGATCAGCATCCTTTGAGTTTCTCTGGCTATGATTGTACAAAATGAGTGTGCAATTTTTCTATTAGGTAAGCATAGCAAACTTAACTACTGCTTAATCTTCCTTCTGTCACCATATTCACATATTACCTCAGGTAGTTCAGGGCTTGTTAGTTTGCAAAATTTGGAAATGAGAAGGAATTTAGTTGCCCTTTGACACATGAGCTGGTATCTAGGAATTTCAGTTGCTTTCTTTCAAAGTGTTAGAGACTGGCCACAGCTAAAGCTGGGAGATGATGGTGTGGCTAATAGTATTAAGTCCCTCTGGCCCCTGGCTGCTCTGCTTTCACATATGCAGCGTTAGACTATTCAATAGACTTAGATTCAGCAAGGAATTTGCTGCAGGGTAGCCTGGGACCATGGTGAGTGTTGTCCTTCTCTGTTCTTTAGGCTTATTTCCACAGGGGACCTTCAGTATAATGAACCCCCTGCTGTAAAAGGCTCAAGCAGTGACTTGATCTCTTCTGCTCCTCTTCTGTAGCATAGACTCCCTTAGCAGAGGCCTTAAGTTTGCAGCTGTGCTAGGAATGTTCTTGTGTAGGATACATCTTAAAGACTCTTCTGGACTAAATATATAGCATGTGTTTACGTGCTTCGGTTTGCCTAGGTTCTTACAACCTCTGACAGCCAGTAAATATTCATGGATGGGTCTTCAAACTTAGAATTGCCCCTCTCCTCTGGTGTCTTGTAGGTTAGCTATACAGGTGTCTTTATTTTGCAGATGCTCTAAGACACCAGTTGTTACTTCATAAGATTGCATTGTAAAGTGTTCTCATTTCTCCCTCAAAACTGACTTTTCATTCGAAGTAAAACCATCCCGTACTGTCCACCATCTTATTGCTAGTGATCAGTGAAGTTACCATACTTACACTTCAAATAATTCTGTTTTAGTTAAGAAGCTGTTTAATGAATGATTTTGTTATGTTGCAGTGCTCAGCAGATCTGGATCTGCATCATGGCTCCTGAAAGCAATCCGTGTCAGGAAAAAAAATGTCAGCAACCAAGGTTTAAGGATGTGTAGGTGTTGGTAGCCTGTGGTCATCTCTCTGAACTTAATGCCCTCTCAGCTGATAAGGTAAGGTTGTCCCAGGAATGTCTGCTATAGCAGCTGGGGGCCTGTGGGCACTCTCAGATTTGGCAGGTTAACTCCTTGGTTTGCAGAAGGGCGCAAATGAAGGAAAGTAACTAAAGGGAAATGAGCTTAGGAAAGCTCCAGCTGCTGCTGGAGGTGGGATTCTTGCAAAATGTTAGCACTGTGGCCTCCCAGAAGTCAGATGTTGGCTGCAGCACAGTGCCTGCTTCTGAGTGGGATGTGAAACCAAGGCTGTGCCCTTCCCTGTGACCTTATGAATCTTCCAGGGAGTCTGCTAGCCTAGCTCCTGATACAAAAAGGTCACAGAGACCTGAATGGTGGCTAGTGTTGTAAAACTTGAAAGCAGAGTTTTAAAGATCCTGCAGTGTTGCATAAACAGTGTGCTGTTAAAGTATGCGTGAGACTTGTGGCCAGTCACTTGCACACTGAATGGGTTGTAGAGCCCTTAACATAATGGGTCTTTCTTCTGGTTTCTAAACCTAGACCCTAGGGGCAGTTGCTGCTTCTCTGTGCTATGGAAGATCAACATGAGTTCACATCTACAAAGAGTGTGAGGTCCTGGCTAAACAAAAGAGCATAGTATAAGCCCTGAACTGGAAACAGGAACAATGCAGTCCTATGCAGAACTCTAGACTTAATGCCAAATGGCAGTTGGGCACCAGGACTGTTTTTTTTTAATCATGAAGTGAATAAGCAACTGAAAGATTTTGATATCTGTGGCATTACAAATTGTCATTGACAGAAACAACTCTTCATAAAGATGGCAAATACTGTAAATGCTTTTCTTAGCTCTGTCTTAAGTCATCTAGTGTCATAGCTGCAGGTTTGGTATGCAGTACCTCCATGATGACACTGTGGCTGTGAATTTGCTACTTGATTCACAGGAGAATTACTTCTGAGAAGGACATTGCTTTTATGGGACCATTCAAGATGTAACATATAACCTATAATAAATTCAAGAAGAGTGTTAGTCCCATGAGTTCTGTTACAGGAGGATTTTTATATTTTCATGATCATATATGAATGTGTGGGGTTTTTTCCTCTAAGGTCTGAAATAATATTTTTTTCTACAAAGATGCTCTTTTTCAAATTGATCTGAGACTGCAGATAATTCAGCTTGGCAATTTAGATACAGGTTTCCTCTGAACTTGGGTGTTACTCATTACCAGCCCATGTCCACTGACTTCAGGGGAATTCTTCCTACCAGTACAGCAAGCACAGGCTCTGAAGCCCACTGTAGTCAAGACAGTTTCTGACTCTGATGGACTTTAAATCAAAGGCTAAAAGCATTGCAAGAAAGGGGAACCTAAACCATGTAGACTCTGGAACTCCTTGGCCTTAATAAAGTGCTGATGACACTACTCATTGATGTATTATTTAGGAAAGTGCTGGTTAGGAAATAGCCACTGTTGGTTGGAAGGATCCAACTTTGGCGTCATGGCACCCTAGTTGGTGAATTGCATGTACTCACCAGGCTTCAGGAGGTACTGCTGTCCTTGGAAGTGCGGCTGTTCTTAGAAAATCCACCTTCCTTCAAGTATGTTATAAGACTGGATGTCTCTGTAGTAAAAGTTATCCTGGAGAGAAGGGCAGTTATCCATGAACTCCAACATCCTGCCTCCAAAGGCATTCCTCTCATAGAACTGTAGCTGGCTGTGCTCCTGTGGCTCTGAAGACAAATTCACCCATGGCTGCACAGGATGTCCAGTGGCTTGCTACAGCTTGCTAGATGCAATACTGATGCTAGCAACACAACTCTGAATAGCTGCTAGTATGTGCAGAAAAGTCAGTTTAACAGGAATAAATCTGACTGGGTCCTAATTCAAAGCAGCAGTGCCATGAGTCCTTTCTGCTCTGGTGAGGGCAGAACTGCTTTGAATGAGTTGCAGTAGGGCAGGAAGCAGAAATGGGATCCAGCCAAGATCACCACACTTCAGCTGTACATGCAGGTGAGAAACAAGCTCAGTGATGTACCTGCATTGCCACAGCAGTCGCTTGCTGTCAGTGTTCCTAGATGTTGATGTTGCAACTGGATAAGGCTCTGGCTGGGACAGAGGGGAGTTTTTCTGATCCTTTGTTGCACAACCTCAGGTGGGCAGTATTTTTGCTTTTCATCTGCTAAGATGATACTGTTTCAAGACCTGTCTCTGACTCTTGTATCTAGCACAGCAAAGATTTGATACAGAAAATACATTCTGAGTCTTGTATCTAGAACAGCAAAGATTTGATATAGAAAATACATTCTGCTTTTGCATAAATGTTCAGTACAGTTTTTGCAGGTGTTTAAAAAAAAAAAACCACACAACCAAACCCAACAACACTTTAATATCTACATTTGTGTAATCCAACTTTCTGGACACTCTTGTTCTGAATCTGGAAAGCATGCAGAAATGAGTTCTAATTTTTGGAGTTTTTCTATCCCCGTACTAAGTCTCAGTTTCTCTGCTTCTTTTCAGATACTTCCCACCAGTCTCCCAAGTTAACTCCCCTTCAGTCCCTCTTGTTCCCACCCTCCTCATCTGTTACTTCTTTCCCTTTATAGCTTGAAAAGATGTAAGAGTGTCTGCACTAGCTTTCAGCACTTGGCAGAACTTGGCTTAGCTAAGTGAAGCCCAGAACTGTGTGTCGGGAAAAAAATAGCTGCAGTATCCTATGCAGATGGAATGTATCTGGAAGCTTGCTGTGATGGTCTCTGCAGCTTCTACTGGATAGGGAAACTGTAGATTGTACATAAAGCTTACAACATGGGTGAACTTAATTTTTCATTAACATTGGAGGGACACATTCCAGCATCAAGGCTATTCCTGGGCCAAATCTCAAATCCTTGGCCTTATGTTTCAATATTGAAATCTTTCACATCGTGGCAACTTCTCCTCTCTTAGTAAAACTCTTCCAGGGAGTGAGTCTAGGAGGGAAAAACACTGCTTTATTCTGGGCTGAAGTACTCAGAAACAAATCTATCATGAGGCAAATGTGCCTTCATTTACAAACTTTCAGTTCAAATCCATGGCAGTGTCTCTACAATGGGATGTGTCAGGTCGCCTCTGTAGTAGTGTAGTCACCAGCTTTGCCTCCCTTGAGACAAGAGCATTGACCGTGTTACAGGAGATGGGGTTAGGTTCTCAGCTCTGTTCTAAGCTTCCTTGTGTAGATCATGTATAGCCAGAGTGGCTTTAGAAGATCAATGTTAAGTGATTTTATATATATCTAAAATAATAGATCAACATACTATTAAAATAAAAAATAAACTCCCCCCTTTCCCCAAGCACTAACCAACCATTCATTTGTCTGAGAATCCAAACTGACTTTGGGAGTCTAAGCCCTATTATGTGAACTTGCTAAGTGTCTTTTCTACTACTCTCTTTCTACATAGAGGTCTCTGGGGAAGTTGTTACTTGTGCCAGAACTGTCAAAATGGAGTGTCATGCTCTGATTCTAATATAGGCAGTAACATACATAGCAGCAATATGGAAAACTTACTGCTGTGATGATAGAACAAGACCTAATGGAGTCATTGAAGCCATCCAGTGCTCGTAATCAGGATATTTTCCCTTCCTCAGGAAGTACTGGTGGACTATGGAGTTGGGACACTATAAATCATCCAGCCGCAAGTTTCTACCTTGAGAGAGTTGCAGTGGTTGAGGTAGGCACTCAGGTCTGGTTGGTCTGTGGTGGCTTCACAGGAGCGGCCCTTAAGGTCTCTGTCCTCAAAAAAAAGTGATCTGCAATAAAACAGAAGTAACCTCAGTGACGCTGGGAAGTATTTGAAAGCTGGTTTTGTTTTGTCTAGATAGTATAAAACAATCCAAAGACTGCAAGAGTCCATAGGGGTGCTCCTACCAGGCCCAAAGACTAGTAAAGCCCTTATGTCCATTTTCTATGGGATGTACAGACAGTTACTGGTGTCTTCATTACTTAGTACTACAAATGACAGGTGGATGTCCCTTTGGGATGCTGGGAAATGGGGGGCAACTTTCATAATGATTTCATGCTGGAAGTAGCCTGTCAGCAGCTTCATGGCAAGTTTTTGGGAGCATTTGGAGAAAGTGAAACCTAAATTGCTCTTTGACTGAAAGCTCCATGGCTTCCATGTATTACACCATCATTCAACTTCATGCCCATCTCCTGCACCCAGTCCTAGCCTCCTAGAAAACCTCTGCAGTGTAGAATACAGACAAAGGAAGAATAATTCTCCTACATCTGAGCTGTGCTGAAGCTTTCACCTCTCTTAATGATACAGGAAGACAGTTGTGTCCAACCCAAGTTAATAATTGAGCACTCTAAGTCCTGCTGGGCGGCTATATCTTAGCAGCAGTAAAATCAAGTTAGAGTTACTTAAATTAGGTGTCATTGTTTGGTGATATTTATTACATTTGTTTGGAATAGAGTACTTCAATCTTATTTTCCTATGCATCTTAGAAGTCTAAGAATATATAAACTTTAGGTCTCTTCAGCAGCTGACAAACTCAAAAGGAAACTAGCCAGGTAGAAAAATAAAATAAAAATATGTTTGTGTAAATGTTTTAGCATTTGAAAACTTCCAAGTACGCTATAGGCTTTCTTTAGGAAACTTACGAAAGAGATAATAAAACAATCACTCCAGGTTTCCCTTCTGCTAATTTGTTGTTAGACAAAGATACTTTTTGGTTTGCATACTTACCATACTTACTGGTTTGTAAACATGTTGCTTGCCCACAAGGAACTATGCATGTGCCAGGTTGTTTGTCAGTGTTCCATTCACGCAGCTTTCTTTTACCTTTGACCATTTTTGTCAGGGTTAAGCTGCAAGACCCCAGAATGCAGGAAGAGTAAGCAGTCCTTTACATAGAATGCACAGTGCTGCATCCACAGGAATAGGATAAAAGAGAATTTTTTCCTCAGTAAAGAGAATGAATGTTTTTTTCTGCTCCTCTGCTCCATTGACAATGCCATTCTCTAAACAAAAGCCAATAGCAGTAGTTTGCAGAGTACCAGCTTCATTGTTACTGTCAGTAAGCAGAGGATCAGAGTGAAGAATAGTTCAAGCAATATTTCTGTTATTTTACTGATGAAACGTGCAAGTCAAAGTGATGGAAATGCTACAGAAGAATTGTTTTGCGTCATTTTATTTTTAATCTCTCTCTGTTCCCTGATGATAAGAGAGAAATGTTTTTTTAATGCATAGGGATTGCATTAAATAAAACAGTTTTCACAGTATGCTAATACAAACTGTCTTGGTTTTAAAGAGCTTCCAGACCAGGCATTACTGCCTGTTTCCTTTAACAGTTAAAGTATGTGTATGAGAGAGAAAATGATGTATATCAAAAAGTATGGTAATAGACATGTACATCCATCCATGCTTCACTGCTGAAATTCTATATTAGAAGTAATTCAGAGCTCATAGATAAAAATACGAGAAGTTGAATGATGGATAACACTTTTTTAAGACTGAGAAGAGCCTTTTCAAATCTGCAGAGAGAAACGTTTCACTTGAGAGATGTACAGAATTTTGGAGCTCAGATATGAATTACTGAGGCAAAATGCAACAGCATAGTACTTTATTCACTCCAAGAAACTTTAATTGCAGTTGAACTTAAAGTTGTGGTAAGTTTTCAGGCTGATCTGGTTAATCCCAAAGATGCGCAGGATTGTGTTCCTGTATCAAACACCACCTTGTTTGATATGGCGTAGTGTAATTTTCAGTCAATCAATATATGACAGTGGTCTTTAGAAGTCTTGGCAATAGGTAGACTCAAAGTCAGAGCTGTTTTAAATTTACTGGAAGGGCAGACTGAAGCTGATGTACTTAGATAAAGTTATTCTGCCTCTGATCTTCTTTGGGTTTTAGCAGGAACCTTTTTTCTCAGTTTGCCTCGTCTAAGTAATGGGAGGTAACCTGAGTAAAAGCTTTATGCTACCAGTGCTGGATCAGGCCTTTTAAGTATTTTCCTTCAGTCTAGTAATTACAAGTACAAACCAATGTTAAAATATCAAGGAAATGTTATCCAGCTGAAATAAAAAAAGAGAAAAATTCCAGTTTTTTTTTTTTTTTTTTTTTCCCCAAAGGAAAAAGAAACATCATAGTTTCGAGTTGTTCTTCTGAAGTTTTAAATATTTCGCTAACTTAGGTTCTTTTCTAGGGACCATTCCTTTCTCTCATGCTTTCCTTCCTTAGATCTCTCCCTCCACATGCACCTTTGAACTAACCTTCACAAAACCCTATCATTTGCAGTGCCCCATTTGTTCCATGCAGTATGAGCAGGAAATATGAAACAGTGGATCTTTTTATCTCACTGTCTTCTTGTTCAACCAAAATGCTATACATTTGTGCTTTCTTGCATGTGTCTTTCACTATGAGTCTTGTACGGTGATTTCAGGAAGCTACAAAACTTCAAGAGCATATCCTTAGCTGGCTTGTTTTTATACAGCTCTAGTTGTGCTTCTAATGGGTGTTGTAAATGCTATCACCCCTGTTAGCCTCTCTCTTGGAGGTACTTCCTCAGCCAGGAAATTGTAGTCTTTAACACTGAAAGCAGACTGAGGGAAGAGTGTGAATTTAAGTCTGTCAGTTGCTTCAGAATACCTCCATGCTGTCTTTGGATCATAAGTAACTTCTTCTTGACAGTTAATGCTAAGCAAATCTAATTCACTTACAGGAACACCTATGTGCAAGCCTGTGCTTACACTTCTCATTCTTGACAGGCTTGAAAGTGTTACACTGACTTGTCTTTTGGGTCCTGTGTGGTCCTTCATAGTCTAATACTGTGGGCAGTGGGCATGGTGATGAAGACTGGAACTTGAAAGACCAGAGTAGGGGCAGTGATGTGTGAATTCCTTATTGTAGCTACAAAGGTAGAACAGCCATCATGGGTCAGAGCAGTGGTCCAGCCAGTCAAGTAACTTGGCAGCAATGGCAGCCATGAGTAGGCACTGAGGGAAAGGTAGATGTGGAGCAACTACATATGACACTGTTCAAACTTCAAGACCTCAAGTATTTTTAGCTCAAGAGGTTTCCTGAGCAGGATGTTGCTTCTCCCTGGTTAATAACCCTCAGGGGATTTGTCTTCCAAGTACTCATACAGCTTCTCCTTGAATCCTGTAGACTTTCCCTTCCCAGGACCCTATGCCACAGATGGGCTGTGCACTGCAGGAAGGGCTGTGCCTGGCTCTGGAGCCAAAATATCTTGTTAGCCAAATGGTATCCATGATCTGAGGAGTCTGGTTATTTACACCTATTCCAGCTTCCCTCAACTAGTATCCTGTTATGACAGCTGCTTTGATGTGGAGATTGACTGCTTCTGCACCCCGGAAAAACTCAAATGTAGGGATAATCTGAAAACAGCAGCCAGTGTTTGTGTAGAGAAACATGCCCTGCACGGCAGCAACTGTAGTACCTGCTACCAGCTGTAAACCAAGCTACAGAAACCTAGAAGACTTATTACCAAAAACTTGGATGCTCTCTGTGAACTCCCAGTGCTACTTTCCTCTAGCACCCTTGTTATTAACGTCTGCTTAAGATTCTCTGAGCATTTGCAAACAAAAGCAAGTAAAACCTCTCAGTGCTCCTTGAAAACAAGAAATTGCCATCATTCCTGTCTCAGGTGGAGAAATTTGGAGAGGTTTAGCCACTTACAAACTCTAGGATGCAGCAGGGTCAAGAATCCAGGCATCCTAACCTAACCACTGTGATGGCTGAACAGTAGCTTTCTGTTCATTCTTGCCTTTGACCAAAGGAATGCCAGCATGTAACCTACAAATCACTGTGTAGCCATAGTTCTCAATTGCACTAATTGAACTAGATACTTTTTTGGAGTGCATAGGCATATGTTAATTGCTCTCTGGGGAGGTGGTCTGCTTTTTCTTTATTTTATTCTTGTTGAAGGCAAATGAAACTGGTTCCCTGTTCTAGACAGGCAAATAGATGCTTGAACTGCTGTGTTGTTTTGGAAAACTGGGTTAGCACACTAACCCAAGCATGCTAACACGCCTATTACACTGTGCAGTTCCTATAAATGTGCAACATTAGGCATTTGTGGACAAGAGGAAACATGCTTTTTCACACCTTTGCCTTGAGAGCGGAATTGCTCATGCTCCATTTCTCTCTAGCTGAAGCACAGTGTTCTTATGTACGCCAGACATTTGCAGCAACTGAACAGCCTACTTTGTGCAGTAAAGGACAGGCAGGAGGGCCCGTGTACAAAAAAGGACACGAAGGGCAAAGAATAGTTCTGTTTTCCTCTCCAGTGTTGTCAGGGAAAGGCTGGTGAGTATCACTAACAGGCTATTGCTGATGGGTCATGTGAGTGTGAAATAATGGCTGAGGTCTCTGACATTAGCAGGTGGAGATGTGAGTTTTAAGCAGTCTGCTGCACTGCTGTAGAAGTTACTTGGTTTTATTCAAGGACTCCATTATCGGAATGTTTACTAGGCAAAACAAAATCAAAGCCTACCATTTAAAACCCGGATTTAAAATTAAACATGTACTAGATAAGGTTGCAGAGTGTCCTAGTCGTTCTGTGCTCTCTGTACTGCTTTCGCTTTCCAAAACTCTCCAGCACCTTGCTGAAGAACAGTAGTATATTTGCCTAATTATGCCTGGAAAAAAAAGCCAGCTAGACTCCACTACCTAAATGAGAAGAGGTATGTTAAGATGTGAGATCCCTTAACTGTGTTTTGTTATATTTTATTATGGTGCTCATTCATTATTGCACAAAGTGCCTGCTGGCACAGGATTCAGTGATGA